GTTAAAATACTTGTAATTGAAATCGCTTCCTTGATCAGAGCACAAAGAAGCATTACAACTTTGATCGGACCAAAGAAACAATTGGAGGAGAAAACAAAGGAGCGGCAAAAAGATCAGAGAAGAAACATACATAAAAGACCGACATAATTGATTTGAGTCAAAGTAAACGATCAGACAAATACAATCAAATCAAGGAAACTTAAAAGACATTGGAGCAAAGAATCTTCATTAGATTGTGATTGTGTTCATCCGCTTCCTCATCAAAGTCGGCTAGCCTCCATGCATTCTCCTTCAGTCGGAAGTAGTGATGCGACATGCTGTAGTTATTCCGATGCGGTCCTTGAGTTTTGTGTTGCTAGCGCAGTCGAGGGATCGTTGGTTCTCAAATAGTGAAGACCGATGTGGAAATGTGGTGCCGTTGCTATGTTATTGTAGCTAACCGTTGCTATTGCCCCTAGCTTTGACTCGCACCGATGCGCATGCCTCTTAATAATCAAAATTCATATATATGGAAATGGTGTCTACCATTAAATTCTACACCTTTTAAAGTGTAGGAAACAACTCTAAAAAATCATATCACTCGAACTTATGGCACAAAAAGAGTAATTAAAAATGAGGGTTTAAAAGCGGAATGCGCGTGTGCTGTGCCGCAGCAAAAGCGCGTCAAAACGCGGAAAATGCGGGTTTTTTTATTAAGGCCCTAAATTAAATTTAAAATTAAAATTAAAATTTCTTTTTTGAGGATTTTCTATATACTCAAACAGAATGATCAATTTTAGAAGATTTTTAGCATATTCAGAATTGCCAAAAAATGAATTAAAAAGGCTGGGGAAAACCGGGTGTAGAAGCAGAAAAACAGGTGTGAAAAACCGGGTGTGGATAGCAGAAAAGGGGGGTACATTTATCAATCCCCAAAAAATAAGGTACACACATGTATGCAAACAATTGAGTCAAAAAGTGAAGAATTGAATTAAAAAACGGTGTCAAATGCAGTATTCAAGATGTATTTTTCATTTTGATGCAAAATTATTGTTACCATAATTTTTTACATGTCTTAAAGTGTAGGAAAAAATTTTAAAACAGTAAAAAATAATGAAAATTAAGCTGTAGAAATTTAAGTGAAAAAAATGTCAAATTTCAGTACTAAAAATGAACCGTTGAGTTTTAAAGAATTTGGTTTACATCATTGAATTCTACACGTATTGAAACCTAGGAAATAAATTTAAAATTTCAAAAAAGCATAAGAAATAAGGTACATACATGCATGCAAACAATTAATTGAAAAATAAGTGGAAAAAAAAGGGGATTAATAAATGTACCCCCTTTTCTGCTATCCACACCCGGTTTTTCACACCTGGTTTTCTGCTTCTACACCCGGTTTTTCCCAGCCTATTTAATTCATTTTTTGGTGATTGCAAACATGCCAAAAATCATCTAAAATCCAGCATTCTTTTTGGGCATGTTAAAAATTCCCAAAAGAGCATTTCAGTTTTTTTATTTTTTATTTTTCTCAACCATTTTTTCCCAATTTGTTTCTGGCAATGAATTTTTGAAAAGTTGAATCATAATTTATATCTAAAAATTATTATTAGTTGTCAATTTTTCAATTTTTCTTCTCCATATAGATGGTACCAAGCAAGATATTCCTTATTTTGTCCATGTGCTTATTACTCAAAACCAACATTGGGATTTCCAAAATGAAATCATATTTTGGTTCTTTATAGATTTCCTGAAGATTGGGCAGTATCAATGATAAATTTAAATTTACTTTGAAGTTTCAAAAAATTATAGGCAGAAAAAAAAACTTGATGAATAGAATAAGTTAAAATTAAAATTTCTCTGTTGAGGATTTTTTATATACCCAAAAAGAATGTTCAATTTTAGCAGATTTTCAGCATATTTATAATTTCCAAAAAATGAATTACAAAGGCTGGGAAAAACCGGGTGTAGAAGCAGAAAACCAGGTGTGAAAAACCGGGTGTGGACAGTAGAAAAGGGGGGTACGTTTATTAATCCCCAAAAAAAAAATTAATAATTAAAATTCATTTTTATGGAAAATGGTTTCTACCATTAAATTTTACGCCTTTTATAGTGTAGGAAACAGTTTTAAAAATTCAAAAAAACTTGAGAAATAAGCCATAAAAATTAAATAAAAAACCGCATCTGCTGCGTGCAGCAGAAACCGTGTCAAACGCGGAAAAACCGGGTTTTTTATAATGCCCTTTTATTTTGGGCTAAAATAGATCATTTTAGCCTAATTTTTACTCCTGAGTGGAGGGCTTCCCATCGCAATTTAGAAGGCTTTTTAAACCTCTCTCAGTCCTAAATTAACAACACAATCAACATTTCAACCAGCTCAGGTGACAGCTATTGCTGGAAGGCTCAAGAAAAAATATTTTTGATGTTGAAAAAATTAGATCTAAGGGGTGTAAATTGAATTCTGGGAGGGTCACAGATTTTGATGGGAAGTCGTCCAGTCACTTTGTAAAAAAGCCTCAGGAAATTGACCTATTTTCCACCACTGAAGTTTCCATTTTTTCCTGGGGCAAAACTGGTATTGTTTGTTTTGTAAGGGAACATTGCCTCATTGACTGGAAGGGTTTCCTTCTGGTTGAAAATGATGTACCTTGCTGATCGGAAGGAAACCCTTCTGATCAACAAGGTACCTCCTCATTGATTTGAAGATAAACCTTGCGGTTGACAAGGCAATGTGGGGGCAGTACCCGGGTACTTCCCGTTTTTTTGCCCAAAACCCAGCACCTGGCACCGACTGGCAGGTGCGGGCAGTACCCGCCAAGTGGTGCTAGGTACCTAGCGGTGGGTAGCAACACACAATCTCCAGATTCAATTATCTCTCTCACAACTCTTGTTTATCATCCTTTTTTCTTTTAGTCCTATCTTCTTATACATTATTGTCCCATCTGTTGTTGTTTCTATTTTATGTGATACTTTGTTTGGCTTAAGGCTGGCCATACTCATATAGTGAAACCTCCTCATTACAGGACTGTTATTTATAAGCACCCACTACCTCACACTCATCAACACTCATAGTAATAACCCTCACCACTCAAAACCTCAGGTTAGTTACACAGAGGCTGACACAATCCACCCACCCTGAAAAGGAGGCAGGTGGGCTTGGACAGACTTCAGATGAATGGACTAACTTTCCAACCTGCCAGTGACAGTCTGGAAGAGGTTTCAACTGCAGAATCAGATCACAATATCACCAAATTTGGCATAAAACTGCTGGTAAGGCTTGCTGGATGGTGTTTTTGATGAAACTAGGACCGATTAACAGGGAGGAGTTTCTGAGAAAAAGTTTGGACAACAAAAATATATTTGTTGGAACAGCTTAAGTTGGCGAAAAATGAGGGAGAAAGCTGATGATTTTAATTTCTTGTACTAGACTAGATTAAATAGACTAGATACAAGAGTTCAAGTTGTGGTTGTTGAGAAAATTGAATAAAGAAACAATAATGAATAAAAAAGACTGAGAGGAAATTGAATTCAGTGTTGATGAAGCATGAGAGAGACATTCTTTTATATATGATAACTCTACTTGATAAACAACAAAAGAAAACAAGAGCCACAATTCTAATGATGTTAGTTTCATTAAATCAATCTCAACACCAAAAACTTTAAGAATAATTAGAAGATAAGCATGGAGAAGAAAGAAATTAACAACTAGGGATTCAGGGTTCTTTGACTACAAGAATTTGATGTTTAAATTTCATGACTTGCTACTAGACAGACTATAGAATTATCAGTAGTTTGGGGTATTAATACAAGAAAGAGATATGTAAGAGTTGAGAAGTGAAGGAGATGAAGAAGGGAAGAGTTGAAATTCCAACAGTTTTCACTAAATTAACTGAGTACCTCCCAGTTCATCTACTACAGAGTGGTCATGTCTCCCCAAAGTGTGATCAAGCCAATTAATATGCCAATGCTCAAAGAGATTTAAACATGTCAGTTTCCAACTTCTCTCAGGCCACAAGGTTGGCATGTTGGATATCCATTTCTTGAACCACTCCGTCTGGCCCTATCAAATAGCCGGGGCAGCCTTGGATAACATTTTTGTGCCCAAACCCGGCCCAGTTCCCGTCTGACCTCAGGGGCTGGTGTTATTGATGGAAGGAGACCCTGTGGGGGACTTATTCCGGAAGGGCGGCAGCGCGTTGAGCTGCCCTGAGATGATAGTCGAACAGTGTTCATTGGGGGCGTCAACGTCCTGCGGGGCCAAGAGGGTGTCAAATCATTTTCGGCCAACGCGACTTACCCAGGACTTGGCCGCCCCGCTTCCCATAGGGTCTGGACAGAGGCCAGTTTCAGGATGGGGAATTCATGTAGTGATCTTGACTTTTCTGCGTGGAGCACCAACTCATCTTTCATGCCTCGGATCCCTATCTTGAGTTATTTCTTTGATACTTCAGATCTTTGACCAAACAGTCCCTCATACGTGCGTGGCCCAAATGTTCCCCATTGCCCTTAAAGCTTCCCAAACATCTCTGACCCAAGCTTGCTATGTTATGACATTTGTACCAAGGCATGTGAAACTAGTCTTCAATACTGATGAAACATGCCGCCTTCAAGCAAGGATCTGTGTTCTTGGTAAGGTAGCGCCAGCGGGAACATGGATTGGGCCTGATTGGGCCGTTGTCTTTCCCTGTCGGGTCCACATAGCCGATCATACATAAACCCAACGAGGCTGGGAGATAAGGGACCGGCAGTTTCCTGACCAGCTCGTATTTATTTATTTACAAATATTGATTGTAAGTTGATCGAAAGAACCCACAGCTTGAGAAGCGCCAGTGTCTCCTCTATTCCTTCAATTCTCCTCAACTTACCATCCGTTTTTTCACCTTCATTTCTGGTGCTGAGAGTACGAACTGAGCGTGGGTGATATTCAAGTTGCAAAAACTAATCAAAACTCCATCACGGACTACTCCATTATACTAAATATGCTAACTTGGCCCCCTTACCTCTGCACTCTTACGATACAGCCTCTTTGAGTGGAACATTGTCCGGACCACTTGAATAATAATAAAAACCAACTAGCACCAAATCTCCCAACTTCACTGGATAACCAGCATGCGCTTCCGCACCAATCACTACATCATCCATGCCATGTTCTTCGGTCTCTGTGCGGCAATGGATGATGCACTGAACCAATCTTATTTAGCAAATCATGAGTGGGAAACGATTCCCCCTATGTGGAATGACATGGCTTCTTCTGGGACGCCGGTTGGATCCCTTCATCATATCAACGATGTATCTGCTGCCTCTTCCCTCTCACACAGGCAAGAGATACATCACGAAAATGTCGTATCTGGTCAACATTATCCACTTGATTCTTCTGGAATGGCCGTGGGCTCCAGAAATAACGTGCCTGATTTTCTTTCCGAATTCGACTCGGAAAACCATGGGGTTGGCGGTTTTCAGATGAGGGGTCGACCGGATCACACAATCCATCAGTCCATCTCTCAAGCAAAAGGAACTCCATTCGTTCACTCAGGAATCAACTCAGTTTCCGGGGCCGCTTTGTCGGGGATTCGTAAGAGGAAGGGGCGTGGCTCAGAAACCGCATTATTATCGCCTACTACTACTTCAATCCAATTAGAGTCTATCCAGGGGCCTGCAACGGACGGCTCTTCGGTGAAAACCCTCTCCAGGGTCCATTTCAGGAAAAAAGAAGGGAAACGAAGGGGTTCGGCAAGGCAAAGCCCTCTCGTAGACCTAACGGCCATCTCCGATGAAGAAAAACATGGCAGTATCAACAACAGGATAAAAACTACTGCATCAAGCAAGTTTCTTTTGAACTCACTGGCTAACCGCGCACACTCGCTATTTGTATCCAGCGCAATTAGGGATATCCTTCAGCGTCGTTAGCGATACGAACTCCCCCTGGCTCCTGGTCAAGAAGGATATCTTCAAAGATAGGCGGGAATCAGAGATGTCTATGCAGGAATTTAAGATTTTATTATAATTTATGGTAATGATCAATCGAAGCTAACAGTATCAAAACTGCTCAAATAAACAGAACAAGAAAGGAACAATTAAATCAATTAGGATTTGAGAGATAAGAACAGCAAAATAACAAACAGTGAGAATTGAGAAAAAATTGTAGCTACCTTCCTATAGTTTTCCCCTCATAGAAACTTTTAAAAATTAGACATGATTATGATAGAAATTGTAATGAAAAAAATCTGCAGAGCAAAAAGGGATAAAATGAAGCAAAAAGAAGATGATCAGGATTGATGGACAATGACTTCAGGTTGTACCACCACCTGTATTTCTTCCTAGCTCCGTGTGAATGCTGTGAGTCTAGTCAAGAATTGAGGATTGCCAATAAGAAGAGGCAGTCAAAGTCCATGGGGACCTGGCACGCATGATGAACACAGTCACAAACTGGCCAAGCCCCAGAACAAAGCGGTTGGTAGCTAAGACCACGGTAGCAACAACCCTGCTGGCAAAGCATCCGGGATTAGCCTTTAAGAGGCCAGCTCTCCTCGTGACTGTTTGCTTCCCTCACCCGCTACACAATACCTTCTCCTAGAGATGGTTGCGGATATTGGCATTCAAGTTTTTAGATTAAAAGAATCTGCAGATTATTTTCTAAATTTGTTTTAGATTTGTTTTAGATTTGTTTTAGATTTGTTTTAGATTTTTTTTAGATTTTTTCTTAGATTTTTTTAAATAAATTCTAAAAATTCTAAAAATTCTGAAAAATACTAAAATTTTCTACAATTTATAAAATTTCTAAAAAAACCATAAAATCTAAAAAAATATGAAAAATGTAGAATATCTAGAGCATCTAAAAATTTGAAAATCTGGAAAATCCATCAAAAATTTGGAAAATCCAAAAAATCCAGATTTTTTTCAATGTTTACAGAATTTACCTAAAATTTACAAGATTTCCCTTTGGGGAAATTCTGTATAGGCCCATGTGAGCTAGTGCCAAGAGAGGCCACACCGGAGGAATCCCTCCCGGCAAGCTGGTACACAATCCCAGCTTTCAGGGAGGGATTCCTCCTGGCGAGCTGGAGTGTGCCAGCTTGCTGGGAGGGATTCCTCCCAAAAAGCTGGGATAAATACCCTCTTGTTGGGAGGGGTTTCTTCCAACAAGAGGGTATGTACACCAGTTTTTCAGGGAATCCCTCCCGGCGAGCTGGTACACAATCCAGCTTGCCAGGAGGGATTCCTCCTGATGAGTTGGGATAAATACCAGCTTGTCAGACGGTGTCAGCCTGGGTGATGCCAAGAGCTTGACTCTTCTAGCTACACCAGGTGCAAAGCTAAGAAAAATGGTGTACAAGTGCGGGTAACACTTGGAATGGGGAGGTGTTTGAAATTAAGAAAAGAAATAATAAAAGCTGTTGAGTTTTTATAAAGGGAGGGGCCTGAGTTACAAGGGTTTTTATGGTGCCCTCCAAGGAATCAGGACCTGTTAAACAGGGGTATTTTTAATGTACCTGATGATCTGGTCCTTTGTGTAAAGTAGTATGCCCAGACAAAATGCCTACAACTGAATTATCAAGGAAATATTACCTACTTAGTACTATTTCCAAGCCAAGGGGACTTCAGGTGGGTGAAAACTGGTCTGGGAGCGCTCAGAAAACTGGTTAACAGGTGTTGGAAGAGTGCTGGGAAACAGTTGATGGTTGGGTTGGTGATATCCAAGACAGAAACAGCAGGAACTGGGCCAAAAACAGGTAAAAAACTGGTTGTTGGAGGTGGCTATTGCTGGTAAATGGTAATGAAGATGGGGAATTTAAGTTAGTGGTCAAGAAGGGCTCCTTATATACGAATTATTCTGGGCCCTTGGAGGCAAGCTCAGAACTCTGTTTGGCTGGTGCAAGCCTCCTACTAGGCATTGGTGACCTGTAGCACTGCCTAGGCACCTGTAGTCCTTGGTTACAGGTGTCAGAGGGCTGAAGTGAGGCTTGTAACACACACTAAGGGGTGCTGTGACGAACCTGCAGCCATGATTTGGTCACTGAGACCCTTTAATGACCAGTGGGCTGGTCCTAACCAGGCGTAGTTAGCCAAATTGGGCCAAAAAGGGCCACAAATGGCTTTTGACCAGCCAGTTACAGTTGTTGTGAACATGAAGTTAAGGTTTCAATGATTTAAACCTTATTTGTAGATTTTTCCCGAACTGCCTGAACCTTAATTACATGTGTAGACCTGTCACAACATGTAGTATGATGTAACTGGGAGGGTTTCTAGCAAAATGAGAAAGTGTCACTCAGAGTACACAGAAGTACATGAAGGAGTAATAATTCAGGGGTACCTTTGGTAAGGTACACGGCGGGGCAAACTGGACATTCTGGACACCGCCTCAGGGGCGGGCGCGTCACTCCCTTGTCGCGGGGACCTCAAGAGCGCCCCGGGGTCCGGCCCGTGTCGAGGCGATACAATAGCGAAGCCAAGGGTGCCCCTGGGACCAACGTGCCCTCGGGTCGGCCCACTAGTTTGCCATGGCACCGCTCTCTAATCCAGAGCGATCCCTAGGCCGCTCCGACCCGGGCCCAGAGCGGGGAAGGGGGTTGCACTCCGTGGTGGCGGGGGATATTGTCGACCCTGCAGATGTTCCTAAGTCCTTCGCGAGCAGGGCAGCCGACAATATTCACTCCTACAACACTCGTTCACCGCCGGTCACAATGAAAGCAGCACGCAGTGAGTCCTAACCTTGTAATTACTCCGCGACCGTTCTGAATACCACTTTTTTGCACGCACTGTCACAGGCTTCGCCAACTTCGACGCAGTGGAAAGCCCCGATGGGGTCAAATACGTGTGCCTCATCTGCCCCAAGTCTCGACCCATCCGTGATCCGCGACGGCACAGTTCACGACAAGTGCATCAGATCAATGTGGCCCGAGCCAGGGAGGCCGCTCGGATGCAAGCAGACAGCGGTCGTATGGATGCCAGCGGGTCATGGGTTGACCCATACGTTGCGTCGGCAACCACAGAAGCAGCGTATCAACAAGATCAAGAAGAAACGGTACGCGAGGGCCGTTGCCAAGATGAGGCTCGGAATGAGCGGCTGTGGCAGGCACTGCAATCCGACCTCGACAGCACCTTGTTGGTCCGTCCGGGTCCCCCACGACCAACACTGGCAGAGGCACTGAATCTGCAGGCGGCCAATGGAAACTCATCATTGGAATACGAGACGCTGGATGCTTTGGGGAGTGGCCATATCGGTGATGCGCATACGGTGGTGAACTCCGATGAGGAAGCAGCCTCCGATCAGGAAGGAGCGACCAGTGAGGAGGAGGATGTGGATGCAGGACTCAGCAATGGAGGGCGGGCAACTTGGTTTCCATTTAAAAACAAAATGGTTGGTGAGGATGTGTTTCAAATCTTTTGGTCCCACCTGCTGACTCTCCGAGTCTGTTTCATCTGCTGCAGGATCTGGTCGCATCGCTTCTGATAGGTCACACTCGATCAATGCTTTCAAGATCCATTTTCACTAAATTGCGTGATATCCTTACGTTAACGGACCTCCAACTGCCAAACTGGGCAACAGTCCGCAGCTCAAGGGCTCGCATTCGACGGTTATTAGGTAGCGAGATCAACACCTGTGTCAGTGTGTTTGACACGCCCTGTTTTTCGCTCAGTGCAAAGCAGCTGATTGCGCAGGTGAGATGTGTTGGGGGGCATGTGGTTATGAGGTATCTGACAGGTTGATGATGATTTGTTTTGTAGGACCTTGCAAATCCTCTGGTGTCCTCCCACCTGGATTTCTATCCCGAACGGACTGATGGAGTAAACATCTCAAAGTTCTCGCAATCTCAGAAGTGGCTCAAGGATTTACCGACTCATCTCCGTACTCAAATGTGTGACTCCAATGGGAAGCATTTTTATATTTTTGAACCGGTGCAGTTGTACTCAAAGGCAGTTGTTGTTCCAATATACTTCTGTAATTATGGATCAAAATTGTATGTCAAAGCCTTGGAAATTCACTCCGATCATGTAACCTACGATCGGACCTCTTGCAAGATAACAATTCCATCCGGCTTGGAATTTGATGACCCATCTCTATTGATGGTTTGCGTGGACGAGTTTGATCTGATGTACTCAGAAATTCTTATGGGTGACAAGCGGCCCTTGACTGAGGCATGCGGCGGTGTGTTGTACGGCAAGTCACGAGGTCATACATGTCATGGGAGGAATTGATGCTGATAACCAATCGTTGGGATTTCTTAGAATCGGACGGGGTGGTGGAGAAGATGATTTGCTTGCCAAACAAGTGGAGGTTGAAATCAGGTAACCGGGTCATGAGGACCGTGCCCATAACACTATACGCAGACGACACTTCAGGCAATACTTCTAAACAATTCAACAAGCATATTTCGTTCTTCTTCACTCTGTTGGGTCTGCCCCCAAATGTGGCAAATCAGGAATACAATTGCCACTTCCTGTCAACCTCCAACATTGCTTCGGTTTTGGAGTTATCTGAGCAGATAGTGACTGAATTGAAGTATGTGATCCCCTTGTCTCACCAAAATTTTTATGACGCAATCTGCTGAATGTTGCATCTGCTGAACACTGCTGTGCACAGTGAGATGAGTTTGGACGGTTTTTTGGCATATGATGCCAGTATTCATCAGGAAGTCTGGGTTAACACTCTGGTTTTATGCTTTTTGGCTGATTCCCCAATGCACGCGGAGGTCACTAACACACCGAATCCCGGTCAATCACTGAACCCATGCCGGATGTGCACACTTGCTTGTGTTAAAAAGAAGTCCAAGTCAACCGAGGGTTACGTGCAGAAGTTCTTGGAAAGAGATGTGGATGGTGACCATGTGGGTTCATTTCTTGTGTGCAGGGCTCGCGTGTACAAACTGACGTTATGCTGCTGGTTATCTTCCGGTCAGTGCAAGAATCCGGCAAGGAATTGGTTTCGCACCCGAGCAGATACTCACGACTTGTACTCGATTGCGACAACCGTCAATATGTCACAATTCAACAAGCAATCATTGTTGTTGGGTGTTAAAGATGCCCTAAACACCCGAGTAATACTGCAGTCTAAGTCGGACCCTGGTTTCAAGGAGCGTATAGGCCTGCTCCATTCAACCTCGCCCGATCGGCTGTACAACTCGTTCCTGAGGTTAGAAGGTAAGATGTCTCACTATGCCCATTGGGTTGTTTGTCTCTTGTTGTGGGTGGTCTCCTGATGTCTGTCCACTGTGTTGGGGTCTTTTGGCATATCAGGTTTTGATGGTGTTAAAGACACCCCGGTTGAAGTCTTACATTTTGTGCTCCTCGGGATAGTGAAATATCTGGCTCGCGATTTTGTCTCTGATCTGTCTGAGGAACAGAAAAACGAGATGATATCGAGATTGGAGTCATTTGACACAAGTTCACTGAATATTGACTCTTTGAAGCCCAGATACCTCGTGCGACACATCCTCAGCCTGGTTGGCAAAGACTTCAAAATCCTCTTGCAGGTGGCACCATTCGTCTTCTACAAACACATGTCACCAGAGAAAAAAGAGATATGGATCGCGTTATGTCGGCTCACCTCTTACATTTTCCAAACGAACATTTCAAACTTGACGGTCTACGTCGCCGAGCTCAAATCGTGTATTGAGCAATTCCTCTATCACCTCATAACTGTGACGGCACAGTGGATAAACAAACCGAAGATCCACATGCTTCTGCATCTGGTGGAGTCCATCATTCGGTTTGGACCAGCCTCGCTATGCTCGACCAAAAAATTTGAATCCTACAATGGGGTATTACGACAGGGTTCCGTGCACTCTAACAAACATGCGCCCGGGAGGGATTTGGCGATGGCATTTGATAGCTACGCTTCCCTCAAGTTTATTGTCTCAGGCGGTTGGATTTACGATGCAACCACCGGGTCTAGAAGTCGCGCTTCCGTCGAGGTGACCTCCGTATTTACAGAACATCCCACTGTGCAGAGGGCAATGGGGTACAATCACTCGGTCATTTGCCCTCCCCAGCCGGGCTGTTTCCCTGGGTGCAACATTCGAAAGGTTGCGTTGGACCATGTGGAACCCGAACCGCCCACGGTGTCGCAAGTTGCGGGGTCTTGTCCTCGGTTCCAACGTGGGGAAATCAAAATATCCAAGAACGATTCAATTGGCCGGGGGTCGTTTGTGGTGGTCAGTTCAAGGCCGGTGATTTACTTGTCCAGGTGATTACACGCTGAAATAACTTTGATCATTAGTTGACCAGCCAAGATGAAACGCACCTGGTGGGTATGATTCGGTCATTGTGGGAGGTATTGGGGCCCAACGGGTCAGTGTTTCTGGTCGATGTGGTTGGATATAACCTTGGTGGGGTGGATGACCACTACAACATGAGGAGCATTCATCGGACACGTAATGTCTTCACGGTGTGGAACTGCTCAAGCTAATGAGTGAAGAGCTTGGAGGGGATAAATATTAATAAAACTATAAAATAGTTATAATAATAAATGGGTGTGGGTGAGACTGCCCTCCTTGTCTAGCTTGTGAGAGAGTTACACTAAGAAAAATAATAGTGTGGTAGATTTCTAGAATTTTATCTTAGTGAAGATACTACCTGTTGAGGATGTTGAGTTGTTTATAAGGGTGGATGGAATGGATGGTCAAGAGCTTCTGGAGTTAGGAGATATCTGAGGGATTCTGGTTTATTCTGGTTTAATCTATTCTTTCTGGGTTCTCTGGTTCAATTCTGGGTCTTTAATAAAGTGAGTCTTTATTTCTTTAATTTCTTCTGTTTGAGAGTTTGAGGAGAGTTAAATAATTTCCTTATTATTTAACAGGTTTCAATAAAGGGATGAGGAGTAAGGGTTTAATAAATTCTTCTTATTACTATTCTGAATCTGTAATATAAGGGTTGATGAAAGCTAAGTAATATCTCTAATTACTATTCAGTAGCTAGCATGCAAGGGGTTGATGAATGCTAAATAAGATCTCTACTTATTTCTCTGATGCAGACATGGGGAGGAAGGAAGTGAAACATGGGCCAAGAGGGCCTCTATTTATAGACAAAATCTTTGGTGAGGATGGTAAACAGCTTCACTGATGAGAATGATTGGTCTGACTGGGTAATGACCTCATACTGCTAATTTAATGATGTCATGATGATGTCATGCTATGAAATTAATGATTTACAGCTGTGAAATTAATGATGTGCAGCTGTGGAATTGATGATGTACTGTTGTGAAATCAATATTCTGCTGCTATGTTTATTAATGATGTCATCTGTGTGATTAATGATATTCATGTTGTGAAATTAATGATGAGTGGCTGTGTAATTAATTAAATGGCTGTGTAATTAATTAATAATGATCTACCTAATTAATTAATATGATCTTCTGGATGATTTTATGATTGGTTGTTATGTTATTCTGTTCCCTCCTGAATGGTTTTTAGCTTTATAACATTATATTATTTCGGATTCCTTGTTGACCATTCTTGTTATGTTGTAAGATCTGTTTTGTAATTATATATACCTTTTAATCTTCCTTGTATGTTTTATACCTCTAGTCTGTGAAGTGTAATTATATATGAAATAAATTATCAAGAAAATTAACTATGATTTGAGAATAAAAGGCTTTATCATGACTATTTGATATTATTACCTGATTTCTTGAGTTTATATTTACTATTTTAATCCTTTAAATATGTCTTTTAAGGTTTTATGGGTTTGATTGGTCTTACCACATCCTCCCCCAACTTATTTGTCTGCCCTCAGACAATTTCTTTTTAAATAAATACTACGTAAATTTTATAATGTGGCTTGAAGATGTACCAGAATAAAATATACCTAAAAAGTAAGATTTGTCATATTACAGTCGTCCCAGGAAGAATTCTGAATCCAATTGACCGGTATAATGATTCAGGATGTGTCTTGAGTTGATTATCTTGATTTACAAATTTTCAGGTCTTGAGTTTTAATCTTGAGGGCAATTTTCTGATGAAATCTTGAGTGAGGAGTTTCTAATAATGAAATATCTCATAATTTAGTTTCTAGATGAATTTCCTATTCATATCTTTCTATTTTAATAATCAAAATCTGATCTAGCCCTCTGACTAAACAGTCCTAATCTTTATCTATATCAATTCATATTTCTATAATTCATCTTTGACTAAATTTTGTAATTTTTTTTTATTTGATTCTCCCTTCTCAAAGATATTCTTCTTCCAATTTTTCTCAAAGTTTTAATTCTCTTTTTCTGAAATTTTGTTTCTCTTGATAATCTTCTCTTCCTTCATTCTGTATCTTCTACTCAATCAAATTTTGTCATCCTATCTTTCTGTTCTGACTTTCTTCTTCTGACATTTGTTCATTCAGTTGTTGATGTAAAGACTAAAAAAATGCTGAAGTTCACTTGTTCAAAAGAGTGGAGCCGGTAGCTTTTTAGGACATCGCCGCTTTGGTCCGATTCAATATCTGGATGGAAATTGTTTTAAGACTCTCAAAAACTTGCTCTTGTATCGGTGCTCATGAAGCGGAAGGCTGGCTTTTGCTGGCAAGGCTGAAATTCAAATAAGGGTTGTGTTCGTTGGCGTATTGAGACTTCAAGTCTTGATCCATCCAAATGAATCCCAAGAAATCAAGGACTTGAACGAGTGGATAGTGTGCTTTTAAGGACATCGACTTATTGGTCCATCAATTCATTAGAAACCCCAATGAGGAGATGCTTCAAGGATAGAGTCGCTCGCTTTCAAGGACATTGACAGCTCGATCCCTCTAGACCAAGAGTTGATAAAACGATTGAGTCGATAGCCTTTGAGATCTTTACCAATTCAATTCGATCCTCTAGATCAAGTTTTTAGGCAGAGAAAAAAAAACTCTGTTGAGCTCTGAATCACATTTTGGTCCGATCACATGTTTCAGAGTAAAAGTTTTTCTTAAGAACTTCAACCAAAAGATTTTCAAGTCATCGCTGATATCGGTCTCCCTAGATTAGGTTATTGAATTCTGAAGAGGTTTTTAAGGCCGTCGACGAATCAATCCGCGGCAAAGTTTTTAAGGACATCCACATATTCGTCCCTCTAGATCAAAAACTTCTGAAAAAAAAAATTGAGTCGGTGGCCTTCCAGGACTTCACCGTTTTGGTCCGATTGCGTATTTCCAAGTCAAAAGTTTTTTCTAAAAAAAGAACTACAACCAGTCGGTTTTCAAGTCATTGCTGAATCGAACCGAGTCGAGTAATTGAATTTGATTCTGATGGAGAGATCACTAGACCCAAACTCCAGCATGCTATTACTTGCTAATCCAACCATCTAATTGTCATGATTGGTGCATCGGCAGGAAACCGTAGACTCTAAACAGAACAAAAGCTAGCTCTCTCCGGCGAAGCTGAAATACAAAGGAAATTGGTATTCGTCGGCATGTAAAGACCTCAAGTCTTAATCCATCCGTTTTGAATTTCAAGGAAAAAAAAAAAAAATCTGAACGAGCGTTTTTGCGTGCTTTCAGCGAATTGGTCCACGGTAACCTGAGGTCTCAACAAACGTTTTTGCATGCTTTTAAGGTCATCGGCAGATCGGTCCTACTGTTTATTTAATGGTCTTATGACGTCATTCAATCGATCAGAAAGTGTTGATTTCCAAAAGCGAAGGCTTCATTCCATTAACGGAGTTTGATAGTCATCGGTGCATTGATCCATTCTCATGCTCATCAATCTTCTTGAGCTTTCTCTTCGATCTTGCTATTCAAACATTGCTGTCGCAAAAATACTCTTGATCGTTTATCAATACTGAATATTATCAAATGATTCCTGTGAATTGATGTTGCTGAACCAAGTCTTTGTTGAATCCTTGTTGACCGCTTTTCTAGTTCTGCTCTTCAAGTCCAGCTTGAGAAGGTGAATGAGAGTGAATGGTTCTGTTGACCAGTTGAGATGGTGAATGGTTCTGTTGACCACTTGAGATGGTAAATGGTTCTGTTGACCACTTGAGAAGGTGAATGGGTCTGTTGACCACTTGAGATGATGAATGGCTCTGTTGACCACTAAAGAAGGTGAATGGAAATGAATGTATACTAGTATAAATGAGGTGACTGGGTAACTAATGTATTCTAATATAAATGTAAAGAAGATTAACTTTTAGTATTGGTAAAAGGTGTTGATAAAAGTAAAGTTGATGTTTGTTGGAGGAGGTTTTTGAGAAATGAGAAATGAGAAATGAGATGAAATGGTAATGAGGAATCAGATGAAATGGTAATGAGGAATTGGATGAAATGGTAATGAGGAATGAGATGAGATGGTAATGAGAAATGTAGTATCTTTTGTAGAAGACTAAATTTATCTGAAGTGTTCAAGCCACTGTTGGGACACCACTTGTGGAACTGCTCAAGCTAATGAGTGAAGAGCTTGGAGGGGATAAATATTAATAAAACTATAAAATAGTTATAATAATAAATGGGTGTGGGTGAGACTGCCCTCCTTGTCTAGCTTGTGAGAGAGTTACACTAAGAAAAATAATAGTGTGGTAGATTTCTAGAATTTTATCTTAGTGAAGATACTACCTGTTGAGGATGTTGAGTTGTTTATAAGGGTGGATGGAATGGATGGTCAAGAGCTTCTGGAGTTAGGAGATATCTGAGGGATTCTGGTTTATTCTGGTTTAATCTATTCTTTCTGGGTTCTCTGGTTCAATTCTGGGTCTTTAATAAAGTGAGTCTTTATTTCTTTAATTTCTTCTGTTTGAGAGTTTGAGGAGAGTTAAATAATTTCCTTATTATTTAACAGGTTTCAATAAAGGGATGAGGAGTAAGGGTTTAATAAATTCTTCTTATTACTATTCTGAATCTGTAATATAAGGGTTGATGAAAGCTAAGTAATATCTCTAATTACTATTCAGTAGCTAGCATGCAAGGGGTTGATGAATGCTAAATAAGATCTCTACTTATTTCTCTGATGCAGACATGGGGAGGAAGGAAGTGAAACATGGGCCAAGAGGGCCTCTATTTATAGACAAAATCTTTGGTGAGGATGGTAAACAGCTTCACTGATGAGAATGATTGGTCTGACTGGGTAATGACCTCATACTGCTAATTTAATGATGTCATGATGATGTCATGCTATGAAATTAATGATTTACAGCTGTGAAATTAATGATGTGCAGCTGTGGAATTGATGATGTACTGTTGTGAAATCAATATTCTGCTGCTATGTTTATTAATGATGTCATCTGTGTGATTAATGATATTCATGTTGTGAAATTAATGATGAGTGGCTGTGTAATTAATTAAATGGCTGTGTAATTAATTAATAATGATCTACCTAATTAATTAATATGATCTTCTGGATGATTTTATGATTGGTTGTTATGTTATTCTGTTCCCTCCTGAATGGTTTTTAGCTTTATAACATTATATTATTTCGGATTCCTTGTTGACCATTCTTGTTATGTTGTAAGATCTGTTTTGTAATTATATATACCTTTTAATCTTCCTTGTATGTTTTATACCTCTAGTCTGTGAAGTGTAATTATATATGAAATAAATTATCAAGAAAATTAACTATGATTTGAGAATAAAAGGCTTTATCATGACTATTTGATATTATTACCTGATTTCTTGAGTTTATATTTACTATTTTAATCCTTTAAATATGTCTTTTAAGGTTTTATGGGTTTGATTGGTCTTACCACAACGGTTGCAGTTGCGGTGCGTTATTCATTGATCACTTGTTGTTGATCTATTGCAACTGACATATGACTCCTCACCATTGATGAAGTCTGTGTTGGGTTCAATTAACGTTCAGCATAATTGCCACCGGGCGCAATGTGGCCTTGAGCAGACTCGAGTGGTCTATCGGGAGCGGGTGGCTTGTGCCATGCTGGAGGACGAGGTCCATCATGTTGATAATGGGGACTTCATCATCAATGCGGCCTCAATGAGGAACCCCGAGCTTCATCGTAACATCACTGGCATCCCGGTGCCCAATGTGACTCCTGGGGATTGGAGTCAATGCATCCATGAAGGGTTGGCAAACTGGGGGCATCCTGTTGAGTCACCCTCCGCAGCTCATGCTGACGGAGTAGAATGAAATAGCCGACTTGTAATACACTCGTTTTTTAGCAATCACATCAATCATTAATCCAATTCTATATGATCCTTCTGATACCTCAAAGGTGGAACCCCTGGCCCACGTGGCATGACATATGAGCCAGTGTGCCCCCACCATCGCCTAATACAGCCTAAGCGAGCCCCTCGCCCGATCTGCTGAACCCAAGCCTCCCATTCCCGGTGCGCCCTCCCGGCCATATCTGAAACCACACTTTCTCCCCTCACAGACTGACACCTCACTGATCAAATGCCTCCATTGTTCAGTGGGCAAAAGAGCCCCAGGCTGCTCACCCGTGGAAACCGTCCATCCCCTGCGCCTTACAGCTCCCGTGCGACCCCAACAAAGGCTCCCTCCGGGCCGATAGGACCATCTTGGGCCCCAAGCGAACATGGTCACTCACTCACCATCACAGACGACCTCATCGAACCAATGTTCCGACCACCCCCCAAGGACGCTCCCGAGGAAGACCAAGAGTCCAGCGGTGAGGAACCTTCCGAGGACGAGGACACATCACCGGCCCCAGGACATCCCAGGACCAAGCAGTTCCTTGGTGCGTTAGAAGTCAGTGCAGAGACCCGTGGAATAGTCCTCGAGATGGGCCAGGTGAGAGTTCATGCACACCCTTCTATGATCTCATTACTGACTTTGGGTTCCCTCCCGTCAGATGCAGGCGGCCCAGCGCGATGGCACAATCTTCATGGCCATTGGATCAGTCATGGAACGTCTTGCAAGGATTGAAGCCAGGCTGGAAAGCCACTCAGAAATGGCAACCACTTCTTTTCCCAAGGCGACCCCAGCATTGGGTGAATGTAACATTGATAGGAAAGGAGATTTCATATTTGGTGAGGGGGCTAAGGTTAATCATAAATCATTCTCAATATCCATCACCCGTATCACCTGGATGGTTCTGACCAAGATACCTCTTTAGGCATTCTTTCGAACAACCGCCCGGCTGCACATGTTGGAAGCGGACATCGAAGCGTATTCCAGTGGGGTTGGAACGGTGTCCCCCTCCCCCTCACGGGCAATCCTAACCATGGTCATAGTAAGACCCCTTCGGACGATTCCACCCTCAAGGATACCCACACGCTGTAAAATGATAACCAAGCCCTTTTTGCCCTCTCGTATTTGCCCCCAGAACAAGCTTAATGACAAGGACGCAAGCTGGCGATCTCGACACATGCCCCCCGGGTATATCAAACGCGACCAATGGGCTGAAGCACAAGTCTTGAAAGGCGTCAAGGCGACTGTCAAACATGTCCGCAACAAGGCCCGTGATGTCATCATGACTGGCATTTGCAAAACGGTCAAAACCGAAAGCGAAGGGATCCCAAACATTAACAAGCTCAGCCGCTACCTTTGGAAGCACCTGAACGGTTATAAGGGGTGCATGACCGATGAACAGATTGATGAGAAGATTAGCCCCCAGCAACGAGTGCGGTTCGCTTACATCCGGCTCGCGACCATAGAGAACTTCCTGGACCCCAACTGCCGCAACATCTCTCAGTGGGATACCATGGATGCGCAACTTGAATCCAACCGACGCGAGATCATGAATTACACCAATGTGTGAGTCACCTCTGTGCAGACTCAGCCCACCCAACCATGCACTGAGTGCCTTGAAATCCACATGCAGATGGCACAAGCTCATCGCTGAACGGGACCACGAGTTGTTCGCGGATGATCCAATATACAATGAGGCGGACCTGTCTTACACGTTGTGCCCCACCCATGACGAAGTACTAGAATGTATGGCCCAAGCATCCACAATGATAGGACCTGTATAGAATATCGTTGTACCCCCCCCCACTCCCTCCAAGCCTTTTGACACATCCCTGTTATTAATGCGCAATCAATTCCGGCCAAGCCTTTGCCCATGATACCCAATGATCATTATCCCATATGCTACCATATTGGACCCGCGCGAACCGGATTGGCGGCCGCATGGCGTCCAATATTCCCAATACAGAGCAACAGCCTTCCCAATACAGGCCGATAGCCCTAACCTCACAAACCCATGGTGTTAGGGCTACCTGCTCCGGCGCACTCTGAATTGTTTCCCTGATAACAAATTTTGTGCACCAGAGCGATCTGGCGAGATTGAGTGCGGCACCCCGACCCCCAGCCGCTCCTACCACCACAATCGCCCCCTGCACCGATCCAATGGCCAATCAGACATGGACTGGCCCTGAGCCCCCAATCACACATCCTGACGGGACAGTGGAGTATGTGCGGCCGTATGACCACGCCGTCCGGAGAGAACTGTGTACGCCCCATTCCTGAAAATTTCTCCATAATCCCCCACCAACTCGCAGCCCGTTCTCTTTGATTGCAGATGGCAATAGACGCTCCCGTCGATTGAGGAACCGGAGCCCACCCATTACCCCACCACCCCCAAGCCTCACCCTAACCCGACACATTCAAACCCCAGCAAACATCTTTGACACAGATGAAGAGGCTGACAACGAGGTTATGACCCACATTGCGCAAGAGCTGGCACCTGACACGCCCGAGGTCACCCTGCAAGCGGCCATTGACGCCATCCCCACCTCACTTGCGGAACAGCTGGGCCTTCTCGACATAGCTCCTGAGCGGATTGAGCTTGCGATCCAACTCATGAATGTAAGCCGCCCGGCCATTTCAACATCATTCACCCCTCTCATATGATCTCTCGAGTGTGATACGAGCAGGTCCCAGAGGAGCACCAGTGGCCCCTCACGGTCATCATGCTTATGCGAGGCGACCCCAACCCGGAACCTGCCGGTGCCACGGCCGCTCAATCAATGCCAGCGCCGCCCGAGCTTGCCTGCCATCCTCGTGGTCGCAGGAACCACACATTTGCATTCCCACTGGCCCTCCAGGTATGAATTGCAGTTCCACCTGTTGATCCCACACGTAGAATATTGCAGTTGAAAGCCGCCTGTCCACACTCGGTAGAATAAGATAACCAACACAGTTGCGCTGATCCTGCTTGATGGAGAAATTCAATGCTATACTGAACAACCCAACCGACGCGAGCGCGGAATCCGGCACACCCCACTGACCATAATATTGGTCAGTAGTACACCATCCAGTCTCCAAAGACATGTCTGCCTAACCCCTCGCCTGTCACATTTACCAGGGCCGCATCCGGGCCAGCTTCCGCCGAGGTGAGATCAACCAAACCATGATGCCCTGCGGATATGCCCAGATCAGACCCCAAGCAATGGATATACTGTGTGCCTACTGCTGGGAATCCATTGACGCCGCCAAGGATCATTTTCGAAGCCTGGTTGGTGTTCAATTTCATTTTTCCCCCACCCGACCAAACACTCATAAGGATCCACTCCGTCATCCACAGGTTCTTGTGAACATTGCCCCATTTGACCAAATTTACTCACATGGCGCGGTTCCCAGCCTTGCCAACCTCATTGAATCCGTAAGTTTCGATCAGATCAGAGCACCATGACCCCTTGACCAACCCAATATTCTCCAACCAGGTGTGGCAGCAGCTCCAAATACCAGCACACAACCTTTTGGGGCCATTGCCCCCCCACCCATCGGCCCACTCCGACCGGGTCAGGATGGCTCACATGCGCCTGCACATGGTGGACTACAAGTATTCCGACCGTGCATCATCATTCACATACTGGACCACATTTGACAGGCAGCTCCTGGAATTGGCGGAACAAGATGAGACATACCAAACTGCGTAAGCCCTCCATTAGAACCGCTCCCTCCCACAATGAGATAATAACCGTCTGATCATCCAAATCCTGCAACAGGCATGCCCAAGCAATACTTATCAAAGACCATGAACTGTTCAACGGTACCAATACCATTGCTAGCATACCTCGAGCCAATCGCCGCCTCCCAAATGAGGCTGAAATCAATGCCCGCTTGGTCCTCATTGAACAGGGACAGAGCCACATCGATCTACATGGATGAACCTCAACGTTACATCCATGAGTAGGCAATGGGCCCACAACAACCTGTCAACCGCACCATGCTGACCGTGGTTGAGGCGGGGCGCAGTAATGAATGGGGTTTCTTCTACATATCTCATCATAGTTCAACTTATGTCTTGTTACCGGTCTGCCTTCTCCTCTCAATCTTACACTTGTGACAGTCGGGGGGGGGGGTCCCAAGCCTATGGTGTTTCTGCTACATACCTCATAATACTTCAATTTCTGTCTCGTTATCCATCTACTTGTCAAACTCATGTGCCCAACGGTGAACACACTAGCTTAACGTGCCGTAATGAACACTCTAGCTTAGGCATATTGCTCACCCACACACATGCCATACATCCGACTGTCAACTCGTGGGCCCGAGCTGGTGACAGAATCACGGGTGCCCAGCCGAGGCTCCACCAAGAATTGTGGTGATCCGACCGACGCAGCCACCAGCCCGAATGACCGGAGCATAAACTGAGCCTGGTCTGGTGCGATGGAAACCGTCATCCGAACCGGGAAAATCCATCCGGGTCATAGTCACATCTCACCCCAATACCCCACAAGGACAATGGCTCGGGGCGCCCCTATTGCGCTCCATGACGACCCAGCAGCGACCCGCTGATGCTCTCAGGGCGAGGTGGGGGACGAATCTACCACACTGCGCCCCACATCTCGCTCTCCGCTCGGTCGGTCCCGGAAGCGGTCACGACTACGCTCCTGATGGTCCTGTTGACGCTCTGCTCGCCCGGCCGTGTACCCTAGGTTATTTTGCATGAAAATTAAGAATATTCTAACTTTTGCTTAAGGCTCAGAAGTTATTTGTAGATTCATGTTAAAAATGTTTATTTATAAATGTTTTTGGGTTTATTTTTATGTTTTCTTTCATGACTAGTAAAACTTCATGTAATGATTAATAATTTCTCTATTATAGTGATTCCACTTTATTTAAATATTAATGTTTTTATATGTACATATGTAATAATGTCTCTATCTTATGTACATATAAAATAGACATTGATTACATATGCTATGGGGGTAGTATGTGTAATAATGTCTCTAAATATTTAATATGCTATGGTCAGGTTGTCTCTGAATAGTAGCAGGCTGACAGAAGGGATCTCTTCTGACGAGCTGGTATGTACACCAGCTTGTTGGGAGGAATCCCTCCCTGTGAGCTGGTCTGTGTACCAGCTTGTCAGAAGGGGGTCCTTCCAACAAGCTGGTTTAAAAACTAGCTCGCCAGGAGGAACCACTCTCGGCAAGCTGGCATGTAGACGCTTGCCTGGAGGGGTTCCTCCTGATGGTGTGTCCTCTGCCTCTCTGGGCTGAGGCGGGCCGGTTTTTTTTTCTTTCTTTCTTTTTTTTAAAAAAAAAAACAATCATAGACCAGTAAAAGGGCGGGTATCCATGGATACCTGCCAGCAGATGTGTGATTCCACTGAAATTGTGAGCAGATATGCGCATCCGCGGGGATATCCAGATGGGAAGCAACCATCTCTACCGTCTCCACACCCCCGTCACTTAGCCTTAAATTTTCAGAAACAGAACAAGTCCTAGAGCTCATATACAAACCCACTTCAAATCTGGCAAGAAGAAATCCCCATCTCTTTTTAACAGGATATAAAGAATCTCCTTTATCATATACCCAACTGCCGACAAAACACTCACCTCACCCAAATAGGCAAATTAGTCCTTACAGACTAGCAGTGATCCCCACATCTTGTCCATCAATCCTTAAAGACCAACGGAGTTACTATCTGCAAAGACAATGCTAACTCTAAATTTTCATTAACGGACCTGTTTATTACAGATGTCCCCCAACCAAGCTAACATGTCTCCAGTTACGGCCACCCAATACCTAAACACAATCAGCATTAATAAAACAGATAAAACCTCAGTAGAAAGGCTCCTAGTGCACCTCCAAAGATGCAGACGTGGTCATAACCCATGACCAAGCAAAACCCACGGAGAAGGGCCCCCCAAAGAGGAAGACCAGATCTGTTCAAGGCAAAGGTAAGGATTTCTTATCCTCTCAAATCTCTAGCATTCAGTGATGGCACTGACACACTACCCCCCATGCAGGTCAGGCACCAGCTCCAGCTGCTGCTAAACCAAAAAAGGTCATGGCACCACCTAGCAACATCCCTAGCAAGGTCGACTTACACGGCACCGCCGGAGAGGAAGCATTTTGAGGCCTAGGAGATGATGAAGATGAGACCAGAAAGTCAGATGACAAGCCAGGCCCACTGGGGCGTTGATAAACGCACGCCAGCCCCCCCTGGCGCACGCCAAACCGCACTCCAGGTGGGGATTGGTGTGCACGCCTGCACGCCAAAGAAAATTGGCGTGCGGGCCCGCACGCCAATCTACAGAGTGTAGACCGGTGTGCAGGCCTGCACGCCAAGGATTTGCCGCCCTCCCATAGGACCCAGGCATGGGTCCTATGGGACGGCCCCTTTGTTTTTTTTTTCATTTCATTTCCTTTTTTTTTTTTCAAATCCCCTCGGCCTAAAGAGGCCGAGGTCACACCGCCGGGATAGAGATCGTTTGTTGGTACCCGTTGCTAGGTACCTAGTACCGCTCGGCGGGTACCGCCCGCACCCGCCTCGCACCCGCCAGGCGGTGCCGGGTGCGGTGCCAGGTGCCGTTTTTTTGGCAAAAACAAGGCGGTACCCGGGTACCGCCTTATATCCCTAACATAGGGGCATGGTCATGGAGGGGTGAAACCCTCCATGACAAAGGTTCTCTGTCATGGAGGAGTGAAACCTCCATGACTGAGGATATATCCTCGGTCATGGAGGAGTGAAACCTCCATGACTGAGTATGTATCCTCGGTCACAGAGGATCTAACTCCTCCATGACCGAGCGGCAAGGATACACCCTCGGTCATGGAGGATTTGACTCCTCCATGACCGAGCATACACCCTCGGTCATGGAGGAGTGAAACCTCCATGACTGAGTATGTATCCTTGGTACGGGAGGAGGACAACCTCCATGACCAAG